CTCCGTAGCTTACCAAAGTCGTACTAAAACATTTTTGACAGATTGCTGAGCGCCGTGTACCACCTAAAATCGGTTCACGGTCAGTAAGCACAACCAGAATTCATACATAAGGCGCGTTGTCAACTTTTGAGAAAATGAAGGGATTTTAGGCCGTGCAGCCCCTGTGGGCTGCATGTCGTTAGCATGGTTAGCTCGTTAGCGCGGTTAGCTCGCTAACACGTTGGTGCCGTCCAGCCCCACAACTCGCTAACGGAGATTTGCCGTGTCCATCTTGTCGCTGCCTGCAGGTGAAGCTATGGGGGAGGAGGGGGAGTTGTGTTCAGTGAAGGAGAGGCGAGGCCGAGTAATGTTGCGTAGAGACAAAAGTGGACGAAAGAGAGGCAAACTTGTGGCTCCACAAGTATAATTATAACGTAACATAGACTATATCGATATAAAGGATATTGTCACATCTTATATCTCGTATGAAAATATATCGATATTTTTTAAAAACTCGATATATCGCCCAGCCCTACCGGAGTTTGTAGAAAACACTGGTTTTAAATTACTTAATAACCACAACTAAAAGGCTAAAAGTGGCATATTCCTCACGCCAAACTCAACTGTGCCTTGATCCAAGGCGAGTAGGGGCTGCAGACTGATGTAACACAATAAATAAAGCAGTTGAAGTAGCTGTCAGCCAAGATCATGTGAAGAGGTGCAAGTTGAGATTATCTTTTATGTGTGAAAGAGGGACGAGTTAGAGCGCTGTTGCTCAGTGTGGCATTCTGATCTTCAGGCTTCTGGCCTATGTTTACTTCCTGGATAACCCCTTTTTAAAACTACCTGTGGTCACGTAAAGTTTGGGAAGCCATCCTTTTTGATTACAATCCAATTCAGTAAGCAGAGACTATTTGAAAGAATTGAACTCAATGTGTTGAAGCGCAGAGTTTGGGTAATAAACTGTCTGATGATTAGACTCAGATGAAGCTACATAGCAGAGCACTCCCACCAGTGGTGGGAAATAGGACAGGACCACCCTGGAGTCTAGACGCTGCTGGTGGTGATGGAGATAAAGCAGATGGACTCGGACGAGGGTATCTGAGCGAACAAAATGAAATCGAGATGTAGTGGAGGCGGGCCACAGTGAGCACCAAGATTTAAAGCACAGGGAACAGAGGCTGATTGACTCGCTGAATAAGGAAATAAAGTTACTGGACCAGAGATAATGATGAAAGAAGTGATCTAACAAGCAGCCTAGACTAGCAGCCCAACCATGCAGGAATGCCGGGAAACGAGTTAATACTAGGTCTTCCTCGTTGAACTTGCATAGAAGCTTCATTCACACGTCGCCAGAAACTGTGTCCTTAATGTAAGATGAGATGGACTCATCAGTGGAGGAACGGCAGATATCTAATGATATATTTCTGTTGTCCTCACTTCAGCGTGTTTTCATGTCATAGATTGAGGAGGAACGAAATGCACTGTTAACATTTCAAACCCAGTTTATCGAACGAGAATAAAAGCAGTTAACAAACTCTAGCAGTGAAAAGCGGTGCTGCTGCCAAGGCTGGAGGATTTTTTTGCAGGTGAACTGTAGAGACTATAAATGTGTAAATAAAAATTCTTATCACTTCTGGACATTGGGGCAAAGATGGGACAGAGGGCTTTTTATTCAAACAACTTTGTGTCATCTTATCGAGTCTATAAAAAGATTTTCTGTTTGGAAAGTGGCCTCGAGGGCTGCATGAACTGAATATGAATGTGACAGACTTCACTGAATCAGACACCAATAAAAAGAGGTTTAAAGCAAAGCTATTATGCAGCAGGACACGTTATTCACTTTCATATTAATAAACCTTTCAAGTGAAGCTCTGTTGTTAGAAGGGACTTTGTATTTATTATGTCGTTTGTCACAAATTAGCATGAATCACTGTCTCATGCGCATACTTTTTAACTTAAATTCTTTACTTCAAAGGTAAAAAGACAGTTTGTTTTTATATAACCTAAAGAAGTACATGAGAATAAACTTGTAATTTTACTCCACAAAGCAAATTATATGATAATATAACAAATATGGTGTTTGGCTTCTTCCTTCTAATAGAAACAAACATCTCAAATCAGAACAGACACATTGCATTCCTCTGCAGAGGTTTAAAAAAATTCCTTCACCTTATGCATGTATCTTGAATCCAAGGATATCAGCCTGTGGATTAATTCGTGATATCAAGATTGCTCCCTTTTCTCATCTCATGTTTTATAACTATTTGTAACGGCATGAAGTAAAATGCCCCCATTTTTACCTGTATCTGAATAGTACTGTCAAAAAATCAGGATTAAGTGGCAGAGAGTGAGGCAGAGCTACACCCCACAGATCATCTGACGTGGACACACACAGTATGTGGAATTGTAGGTGGTTATTGCTCTGTTAACCCCCCAGCAGGGCTGGGTCTAACACCTTTTTTTCTCTCTGGTAGAAATCTAGCTTTACTGTGAGTGCTCTTTTGTTTTGTTTTTCACAAAGTCTCCTTTTTCTTTTTATATTGGATTTAAATTTAGAGGGAATAATCAATGATAGCCTCTCAGAATGATAAGGAGTCCTTTAAAAAAAATCCCTGTATTCAGATCTAGATAGACTCCATATGTAATCGCTTCGATCTTGCACCAAGCCTGACAGTTTTCATGCAGATCTACCCTTAACTTCTTAGTAATCCTGCCAGTGGCATCTTCAATTGTACTACCTGCCACAGAACGAAGACCTTATTTATCATCTTAGTAACTCTGTCACTTCTCACTGTGGTGCATCACCATAGTAAGGTTAGAGATCAACCTACTGACCAATCACTTCTCCAGAAAACAGTGTCACCACAGCTGGAAAAAGCCTCTGACTTCTGCACAGATAGAAGAAGGGTCTTACTTTTTAATGTCTAATTTCAGATGCAATACACAGATGACCATTAAGAATTATAAATTCTTAGATGCAAGTTTATTCCTTCATTTTTTCTTCCCTATTACATTAAATTTGCACATAGTCTAAACCTAAATTTGAATTCTGTTTTTAATGTGTTTCTTACTTGCTCTCAGATTCTCCTGCGTCCTAATACACAGGATACAGCTGTGATATTGATGATTCTGTTTACTGTCAGTGCAGTCAGCGTTTTGCTGGTTTTCTTTCCTGGCTTCAAATAAGCTAAATTATATTATTATAGCAGCTCTTTTCCAGTCTTATTGACCAAAGCACTTAAAGTGCCCCTGCATTCATTCAGGCCTTTTAATACTAAACTGCTGTGCAACGCTTCTCCTCACACACCGCTGCTTAGTCAGCAGCAGGAATGATGCTTTCAGTCTGTATTGTGCGTTTAACCTCTTTATATTTTTCCCCATACTTTCCTCATAATTTTATCTTCCTTGGCAAAGTCACCTGCTCGGGTGCCAGTATACTTGTGCTAACATCAAACCTTTCAGGTGAATGTGCGATTGAGAAACCCTGGGTAACCTTGGTGAGTTTGTTAGCAGCTTCTTGTGGCTGCTTGTCATGATTTTTGATGTTTGGGTAAATGAATTCAGATAATTAACAGATATCAGAAGTATGCTGAACTCGCTTCATAGTGCAAAGCCCAGGTAAAAAAAAAAAAAAATCTTCTGCCAGCTTTCACTGCTCCACTGTTTTCAATGCTTTAATGTTGTTATGGTACCACAGCTAAACCTGCAACAGCAGCAAATATTTGTTTAATCAGTCAATCATCATATTTTAGTTAAAAATTGTTACTTTTGGTTGCTGTGTCTCATTTAAGTCTTTAAGCCTGTTTAAGTCAGGTAATCAATACATTACATTTAGCCCTAGTGAAGCTAATTATTAGTTACAAATGATGATGGTGTTTATTGAACGGATGTTAATGTAAGTGTGCGATATAAACAGAGGGGGCAGGAAGTAGATTAAGAGGAGGATAATTGATCTGTCACACAGGGGCTGTTTTTAAGGAGGGGGAGATTTTACACTCGCACACACACATGTGCAGAAATCCAGCTGTGTTTTGCACACAGATGTGTCGAGGTTCCTCGAGAACAGCGTACCTGTTTGGGTCACTTTGAGACCGATAGCACTGTATTCTGCGGGGGTTTTGGCATTGAGCTCCTTCTCTATCTTTTTACCATTGTGCTAGTAAAAAATATTCATGTGTTCAGATGAATATTATACACCTCCTTTTATTTGCAGCGCACTTTGAGACCTCCATGAGTCCAAGGTTGCATCTTTTTCAGTTAAAATAAAAGCATTCAGGCTCAGTCTTCAGCCTTGATGTCGCTTTTACCTCTTTAATAAAGTGTGAACTCAGTGATTTAGTCTGTGTGCTCATCCTGTAGAAATACTGAATGTTTGGGCCGCTTTTGAAATTGGTAGCCTAAAACCAACTTGTTCCAGAGCGGGTTAGGAGAGCTGCGTCGTTTCCATGGAGATGTTAAAAGTGAAACGGTGTCCATAATATCTGATAAAGGGCTCCTTAGTTTTACAGGTGTAACTTACAGCTGTTTTTCTCTGTTTAGGACCCTGCAGGCGAGCAGGAAACCAGAAGCTCAGTGCAACAGTCAATGCAGCTGCTTCACCTCCTCCATCAGCCCTGTGTGCGGCTCCAACGGCATCACCTACCTGTCCGCCTGCCTCGCCGGCTGCAGCCGAACTGGGATCCCCACATCCAACATTTCTCAGGTTTTCATTTTGCCTTTGCCCTCTGATTATGATGAGTACCAGCAATGTTGATGAGGACTGTAGCACAGAAAAGCCACCAGAAACCTTTATAGTGTTCACAGATATGAAGTCCCAGTATTTCACAGCTCTGTCATCAGCATGCACATGCTGGGCAGTCAGGTGGTAACGTGCTTGTTTCAAGATCAGATGCTGACTGCAGATAATGTCTTCTATATTCAAATCACATCAGCTCAGCAGCACAAAGTATCACCACTTCACTGCTGCTGAATTTTTTTTTGCTTTTCTTTTTTCAGTTTTTAAGTGCTCCTAAAACAAACACACATTGCTTATTTCTACTGAGGATTTTGATCCAGCCGTGAGGAGCAGGTGTAGCATGTGTGTTCCTGCAGGATGAATGGCTTGTTGTTGTACAAACGTCTCTCTCTCTTTCTGTTGACAGAATCTGACCGGCTGCTCCTGTATATCCAACAACAGCGAAAGTGCCACGGCGGTTCCCGGGAAATGCCCAATGCCGGGATGCCAGCAGTCTTTCCTCATCTTCCTGTGCGTGATTTGTGTCTGCAGCCTGGTCGGAGCCATGGCCCAGACTCCCTCTGTCATCATCCTAATCAGGTATCATTGTGGTTTTATTTTATTTTGTGCAGAGACTCTCAATGCTTTAATTTGAAAAATAAAACTTTTTTTGTTCTGTCTGTTTCTCTTGAAGGACTGTGAGCCCTGAGCTGAAATCATACGCACTCGGTGTGCTGTTCCTTCTGCTGCGACTCCTCGGTAGGAACCGTTTCCAGATAACACATCACTTTCACATACAATCACTCCGTCTCATTTCCTCTCACTCGCAGCACAAATCCTGTTGAGGCTGCAAGCGTGTGGCGTTTTACCAATGCCTCCAGTGACGCACTCTGTTAATGACGGCAACCCGTCAATCGCTGGTGCGCGGCTGCATCGACTTTATGTGTTTTCAGATGGAAAGCAAATAAATCAGATAACAAGAGTGTAAAAACAACCTTACGTTCAGGAGGCAAGAGAAGAAATGGAACATGAGAGGGACAAAATGTGATTTTTAAATCATTTCAGTGCTTACGGAGTGATAGTTTGAAGATTTATGATTCTCCTCTTACAGCCAGCAAACCTTAGCTCAGTGCATGTTTCTCTCTTGCAGGATTCATTCCCCCTCCTCTGATTTTCGGTGCTGGGATCGACTCCACTTGCCTTTTCTGGAGTTCGGACTGCGACAAGAAGGGTGCCTGTCTGTTGTACGACAACGCGAATTACAGGCATCTCTACGTGAGCCTGGCCATCGTTCTCAAGGGTGTCGCCTTCCTCCTTTACACCACCACATGGTATTGCTTGCGGCGGAACTACAGGAAGTACATCAAAAGTCACGAGGGCCACTTGACGCCAACTGAGTTTTACCCGTCCCTCACCGACGGCCCCAAAGTCGCCGACAGGACGAAGTTTATATACAACCTCGAGGACCACGAGTTTTGTGAAAATATGGAGTCTGTTTTATAATTTGTAAAGCAAAAAAAGGACAATATGGACATTTAAATGACTATTTTAGGAATGTAGTTTTTTCTTCTTTGTTAAATTCAAGAGGTTTTGATAAAGGCGATCTATTTTACGGCCCGTTGAGGTCCTCGGTGGCTCTCGACTGCGCTACACGTCCTCGGTAAAATCAAAAGGGTCCATTGTAGTTGTTTACATCTGAGCGAGGTGTTGTCAGGTGTTGCCAGTGAGTTCCCGTGTTGACTCCGTGGTAGAAGACGAGCGCAGTACCGTCCCACTCAGTCCTAGTCTGTTATTAGTGAGTGGACATGATGCTACTACAAACTATAGTTGCCATATTGTTTTAGGTCCGTCACGATTCCAGTGACAATTTCCTTTCAGTCAGCACTGTGTGTTTTTGTTCCGTCACTCTTCAAAATGACATTTTTATGGTTAAAAAAAAAAGTTTGGTTTGTTTTCCAGTTATTCATATTTATAAAAGTTGCCAAGTGTTTACAAACTACTAGTTGATGCGTTTAAATTTCACTGCAGGAAATTTTCCTATTGAAAAATTAAAAAAAGAGAGAACAGAAACACCCTCACTGGGTTATTTTAGTGGCCTGTTGGATCTTTTAACTGCTCAGTTTCCTGTTCTCTTGCTGGATCATAGACACTGTTTTTTGATACTTCTTAGACTAGACGTTGAGGTCTTGTCTTATAGGTTGAAATGTGCAATGTTTCTTCATGATAGCATTTCCATGTCGTTTTTACTTTTCAGCCTAATATGTCTTAATAAGGGATAGTTTGAATAAGAACTTTCTATATGTTTTCTTTTGGCTTTTGCACCCAGTGTCAAAGCAAAGGAAATCAAAAGTAGTATTTTTATGTTGTTCATCCTTCAAGTGGAAGGTTTGTTTTCATTTGGCCCAGAATGTTTTTATTAGATTGTTTTCGAGTATAAATTATATGTAATCTAATTGTCTGGGATGTGTGTGTGTCTGATGTTACAAAAGATCTGGGACAATTCATATCTATGGTGTGTTACCTGTGTCTTCAAACTAGGCCTGTAATAAGATACAGAGGTTACAGATGTGCTAAAGGAGACTGTGTGTACAAGGTTAAATAAAGTTAAAGGGCACTGAATTCATATCCAGGTGTGACTCACTGCACATGTGACCTGTTACTCAGCTGAGCTCTCTGCAGTTACAGTTTGTCCCTTTTCTTATACTTTTTGTATGGCAGCATATTGTTTATTTTACTCTGGAAATAAATTATTTTTCAGAAAATTCATACAAATTTGAGTTCTTTTCTTTTAAGTTCTGTTTGTGTGTAAGTGGCTCCATAGTGTAGTCGTTTACACATTCGCCTAACAAGTCAAAGCTTGTCAGTTTGGTCCCAGGAGGAGGCACGAGTCCCTTGGGGTTTGCATCAGGAGGGACATCAGGTGTGAAAATCTGCCAAATCAAATATGCAGAGCCATCCTGTGGTGACCCCTTGTGAATAAGGGAGCAGGCAAAAGAAGTTTTATTTTGCATGTGTGTAGAGCTGAGTGTTTTTATAAACAACCACTGTTTCTGCTGGCCAGCAGGGGGCGACTCAAGGGGCAAATTGTCACAAAGTATGGAGGAGTGTCTACAGCCATCTGTAAAACATGGTGGAGGCTCTGTCATGGTTTGGGGCTGCATTTCAGCCAGTGGTGTTGCGGTCAAGGTTGATAGAATTATATTGGTCATATTTTCATCCACAATGCAATACAACCTGTAAAGTGTTGTGGTCTTAACTCAAAAGAAGTAATGTATTAAGGCGATGTGGAGTACTCCAGATTTTGGCATCGATCTGATACAGAGTAAATACAACACCGATGCCTTTAATGATACTTTTAACCTTTAAAGGCAGCTTAGGTCGGAGAGAGCAGTGTGTCATGATTCATGAGATGAATCAATTTGCTAAACCTGGATGCATTTTAATGGCCACTAAATCACTGTTTTTATGCAATAATTAGCTAACATAACGAAATGCATCTTTTAACTTTTCATGTATTTTAAAACTGGATTTTCTGGAGACCTGGAATGCCCACCCTCCAACAGGTCTCGTCAGATGTCTGCCCCTCCCTGCACCAGGTTCTGCCAGAGGTTTCTTCCTGTTAAAAGGGAGTTTTTCCTTTCCACTGTCGCCAAAGCTTGCTCATAGGGGGTCATCTGATTGTTGGGGTTTCTCTGTATTATTATAGGGGTATTTACCTTTCAATATTAAGCGCCCATATGGGTGGCTGTTGTGTAAGTAAAATTAAAATCAATTTAGATTAATTTAAACATGTCTGTCACTTTGGATCAACTTCTGTTGTTTAAATGTGCTATAAGTAAAACTGACATGAGAGTTGATACAAAAAGATTCAGACATTTTTCATAGTCTGTGTTTAATGCATTTTTTTTTTTTCATTTCTGAAAAAAAATAATTATTTAACATGATTATATTACATTAAATAATATAATAATGCATATTTACAGGATAGAGCAAAGTATCTATCTGATAACAATACCAGCATCGGTATCAATGCTATCAATATTTGGATTGATCTGGCCACCTCTGATATAGTACACATAACTCATTACTGTTTTTTTTCAAGTAATGCTGTATTTTACTTAATTACTAAGTGGATGAAGTAATTTGTTACACTACTCGGTACTTTGTTCAAATGGCCAACAATATAAACCTGAGGCAGTTCCACACACCAACACATAACTTCTTCTATTTAGAACACAGATGCAATATTTTAGTATTTATTTATGAACAGAAAATTAACAACTTGAAGCAAAGCTGAAAACGAGCACAAAGAGACTTCAAAGCGATTGCCACAGTCAACTTTAGAAACATGAACAAGTAGAAACGGAAGCTACAAGGCTGACGGCTCATCACTGCCTTTGTTACCTGCTCAAGTTCAGGCTCTGGCTGCTAGCACGCATTCAGCTTTAATGTCACTTTGGGGTTTTGGCTAGCTTTGTGTTAGCATGCTGTCTGTGCAGATACTTGGAAAGAGCTGAAGTTGTGTTATCAGCAGAATGCGATTGATTCTATCCTGGATGTAGTTTCAGCTTTACCATCATATTCTTGCCCTTTCATAAAATAAACATAAAGGTAATGTCCATATCTGGACTGCAGGCTGCTCCACCGCGGTCTTCCTCCCACAAGTAACGACACAATTGCAACGGTAATTTATTAATGGATTTAGTGCAGTAACTGCACCACTGAAAAATATAATGTGACCCAATGCTGTTGGCCACAACTTCATTTTTCAGCATGACAATGATCCCAAACAAAGTGCCAATGCAGTAATAGCATAGCTGGACAGAAAAACATGCAGGAGTCGCAAGAGTTCAGGCTGTGCTGGTCAAACAAAATATTGATTTTCAAACTTTTTAGAATTGTATAAACTCTGTTTTTGCCCTGTATACTGTATTTCTATTCATGTTTGCACATATTTTAATAAATTGCTGCACTTATTTACCACACCGGCTCAGATGTCACCTGGCTTAATGAGGTCTAGTAGGCTACTGGAACAAGATATGCAAGGACCGAGAACATGGAACTGGTGGAGTTTGTGTGTGTGTGTGTGTGTGTGTGTGTGTGTGTAATCACGGTTCTATTTTTCAGATAGGCTTTTTAAAGATTCTAATATAAGTGTTGAGGCACTGTTAAAATAAAAGCTCCAGCTCAGCTGCCAGTTTGTATTCACGGCTCAGCACATATTCCTAATATTGTACCTCGCCCAGCGAGATGCTTTATATAGACACGAGAAATTAATAGTACCACATGAGGACAGAGACTTTCCATATTTTGATTTGCACAGTGGATTGGAGGCTTAGTTTAGCCGTTAGACTTTAGCTCTCACAGTTTGAGTACCACAGAACCACTGAGAGTTTGTAAAATATGCTTCTAGATATTATGTAAATCAATACATGTTTCTGCAAAAATAATTTTAACAAGTGCTACTTAATATTTTTACTGTATAAAAACAATAAATAAATCAAAGAACAATTTTACCTTTTGAAATCAAATAAGCATGAATGTTACATGAGGATGTATATAAGGCTCTCTAACAGCAAATGCTGCTGAGGGAAGGACAAAATGTACAATGAGATTTTTATTTAGAGGCTTTCAAAAGCAGCACAATTCAAAGTTCTTCACTTCATCACATTAATAGAAGTGAGAGTTCAATCAGACCTCAAGTTTTCTAAGACTTTCATTCCTGATATATGACATATGAAAAGTGAAGTAGATTCAGTCCCTTATAAACCAACAAAAGAATATAAAAGTCACTTTATTAACACACAGGGAGCTCTCCTGAGTTTCTAAGAAACACTTGAATAATAGCTTTCCTGGATTTCTGGACGTAGCACACGAGTCCTTGTGTTCTTGACATCATGTAACTCTCAAATGTCCAACCTTGAGCTAAAATGACTGAGCAGAGCTATATATATTCACTTTACTAGGTACAGCTGTTTAACTCAAATATTAAATCGTCCAATCATCTGACAGTAATCCATGGAATTTAAGCAAGCAGACATGATCAAGTTAACTTTCGGAAGTTCAAACCGAGAGAAGAAAAATTATTTAAGTGACTTTGAATGTGGCATGGTTGTTGTGGCAAGGTTTACAGAAAATGGTCTGAAAAAGAGAAAATATTCAGTGAGGATCAGTTGTCTGGGTGAAAATGCCTGGTTGATGTCAGGGGAGAGTGGCAAGACTGCTTCGGGCTAATAGGAAGGCAACAGAAAATCAACCAAGCTATGCAGAAAAGCAGCAGATGGGCTACAGCATCAGAAGACCACACCGGCTGAAGAACAGAAGAGCATCTCTGATCAATAACCTGTCAATCTCGCTAAAATCAACCTCGGTGAATCTATGTCACAAATTAAGAC